TCCCTGCGAGTGTGGAAGGACGGACGAGGGAGGGAGGGTTTCGGGGGGGGGGGGGGGGGGGGGGGCTTGGGCTCGCCCCCACTCCACACGATCGCCTTGGCCTCGAAGATTCTCCCCGTCCTCCTCGCCATCGAGACGAACATCGTTGATCCTGGGCCAGCGAAACCTCGATGAAAGAACCAAGATCCACCTAAAACTCATGATCCCACCCTCTTGGACCAAACTACAGTCGTGCATGTGTGTGCAGGACAGTGCACTACCGCAAGTACATAGTTCCTGTTCTCAAAGGTGAGGGAACCGTGTGCAGATCCGATCAACAAGAGAGCCGGGGTGAGCAACGTGAGAGGACTATGTACTGTACGTATGTTCTCTTCCTGGCTTACACTCTCTTCCGTCTTCATTTCCAGTGTAGTGTTCTAATCCTCTTCCATCGTCATCGTCATCATGACACATTATTAGCACCATGTTGGTGCTTCCTCTTCATCCCACCTTCCCACCCGTCTCTCACCCTCTCCCGCTCTCTCGCTCTCTCGAGGTTGATCTGGAAGCTTCTCGATCCAAGTGGTGGAGGATTACGTAATAAGAGGCTGAACGCGCACGAACCAGTACTCTCCATCTCTCCCCCGATCAAGTCCAAGTTCTACGATATCTGATCCCGATCCCGATCGTTCTCGTGATCCTGTTTCTGTTTCTGTGATTGTTAAGGTACTGCAGTGGAAACGCAGGCCATGGTGGAGTGAAACAGGCCGATTCTGATTTTGATTTCTACTCAAATTTTTATTTTTCTTTCATTTTTTTCATCTCGTTCCTTTCACTTCTTGCTCCGAATCTCCCGACGTGTGACTGACGTCTGCCTCACTCCCTTACTCCCTCTCCCCTCTCCAACCCCTCACATATTCAAGAACGGCAGGCAAGGACCAATCCCCAATCGACCGATCGATCAGTACCCGTCCGCCATCCCAGACTCTTCCGTGGAATTCTCTTCCAAGACGGCCGATGCTACCTCATCCGTCAGTTCCCTCAGCTCCTTTATCAGCTGACTCCTGTCCCAATCCGACCGCCTCGACCAGACGCGATCAAAGCAAGCCGCGCGCAGCTGCTCGAGCTGCTCGATGCTAAAGCACGATGTCTTGCTCAGCAGGTAGGCACCCAGCGATCCCACTGCTCCTTGGTCCACCTTGAATGGAGGATGGGCGGCGTGGGCTTTGCCAACAGGACTCGATCCCGCGGCCACCTCCACTCCCGAGCTGATCTGGTCACCTGCGACGCCTTGCCCCGGCCCGCCGCTTCCGTTCGTCAGATCGCGCTCCAATGGCTCTTGGGTGCCGTTCGCGGCACTGGCCGTGGATCCATCGCCGTCCACGTTCTCTTCTGCGTCAGTGCGGGCACGCTTCCTGGACTCTGACTCGTCGCCCAGGTCCATGTCGTTGGCCTCTCTCTCGACGCTCGGGTTGCGGGACGAGCTCTGTCGACTTCGCTTGCTGTTGCGTTCGATTGCGCCAACGTCCACGGGAGACTTGAGTTCGGGTTCCATCCCTTGGATCCTGGCGCTCTGGCGTTCTCCAGATGGCGCGCGCGCAGCCGTGGCCGCCGCCTTGGCCGTTTCGGCGGCTTCCCTCGCCTCAGCCTCTCTGGCAGACTGCCTGAGGGCCATTCTTTCACACTCGGCTCGGAAGTTGACATCCACGTACTGATCCATCAGAACGTTCGCCAGGTTGCGCATCTGGTGCGCGCGGAAAACGCGGTCCGAGTCCACCTCTGCGGCCGCCTCGGCGTTCGAGACAATCTTGGCAATGTCTTCCATGAACGCCGAGCAGGTCAGGTAGCCGTTGTAGTAAAGCCTCTTTTGCATCTTTTCCAGGGTCATTGTCCAAATCACCAGGTCTCGCAGAATATAAGGGCTGTTGTCTTCGGCGTTGGAGGTTTCTGCCTCCGGATTTTTGGAACGATCGCTGTTCGGATCGGGTCCGGCCTCAGCAGCTTTGACACTAGATTGCTGCTGCGAAGGTTCGGGCATCTCGACCTCCTCCAACCCCTCTTGAACGAAGGGTTCTTGCTGCCTTTCTGATGGCAAGGCCAGCGAAGCTGGGTCTTGGCAGAGTGAAGGACCGGCACTTGGAGAGCCAGGGCCCTCCACCCTTGCCTCTGTTGCGTGTCCATTTTGCGGAAGGGATGGCACATTATATGCTGCTGCTTCACCAGCCTCTTTAGCTTCGTTTGATGCAGCTCTGTTGATCAGCTCATCCGCACTGGACTCGCGTCGATGATGCTCGGCATGGACCTGCCGGTCGTATCGTATCGTGACGATGATTTTGCCTTTTTCCCTCCTCGAGTCGAATCGTTGGGTAAGGTCATGAAGGTTGTATTCATCCTGCGCATCACATTAGAAGTGGGTAGATGAAGTCAGCAAACTCGCCCCAAGAGGAGAATCAGGCAAGTGGTCGCTATCTATAACTCGGTCTTGATCAACATCGTAAACGGGCAGGTAACGAAGTGAGAGCAAACTAAAAGCAAGAAAGGCCCGGCGCCCCGGGGGGGGG